AGAAAGAAAGAAAGAAAGAAAGAAAGAAAGAAAGAAAGAAAGAAAGAAAGAAAGAAAGAAGATAAAATAAAATAAAATAAAGTTATTAAAATAAAAAAATAATTATTAAGAAAAAAAATTTTTTTAAATTAAAAACCCCCCCCAAAAAAACAAACAAAAAAAAGGACGGATAGAACCCTAGGACAAATGGTGAAAGCAAAGCTATACAGACAAAATCTCACACAGAATCATACACATACACACTCACAAAAAGAGGAAAAGGGGAAAAAATCCTAAATCTTGCTCTCAAAGTCCACCGCCTCAATTTGGGATGATTCCTTGTCTATTCAGGTATTCCACAGATGCAGGGTACATCAAGTTGATTGTGGAGATTTAATCCGCTGCTCCTGAGGCTGCTGGGAGAGATTTTCCTTTCTCTTCTTTGTTCTCACAGCTCCCGGGGTTCAGCTTTGGATTTGACCCCACCTCTGCTTGTAGGTCGGCGGAGGGCGTCTGTTCTTCGCTCAGACAGGACGGGGTTAAAGGAGCCGCTGATTCGGAGGCTCTGGCTCACTCAGGCCGGGTGTGGGAGGGGCACTGCTTGCGGGGCGGGCCTGCGGCGGCAGAGGCCAGCGTGACGTTGCACCAGCCTGAGGCCCGCCGTGCATTCTCCTGGGGAAGTTGTCCCTGGATCCCGGGACCCTGGCAGTGGTGGGCTGCACAGGCTCCCCGGAAGGGGGGGTGTGGATAGTGACCTGTGCTTGTACACAGGCTTCTTGGTGGCGGCAGCAGCAGCCTTAGCGTCTCATGCCCGTCTCTGGGGTCCGCGCTTTTAGCCGCGGCTCGCGCCCGTCTCTGTAGCTCCTTAAAGCAGCGCTCTTAATCCCCTCTCCTCGCACACCAGGAAACAAAGAGGGAAGAAAAAGTCCCTTGCCTCTTCCGCAGGTCCAGACTTTTTCCCTGACTCCCTCCCGGCTAGCCATGGTGCACTAACCCCTTCAGGCTGTGTTCACTCCGCCAGTCCTCTCCCTGCGCTCCGACCGAAGCCCGAGCTTCCGCTCCCAGTCCCGCCCACCCGGGTGCGTGAGCAGACAAGCCTCTCGGGCTGGTGAGTGCCGGTCGGCCCCGATCCTCTGTGTGAGAATCTCACCGCTTTGCCCTCTGCATCCCTGTTGCTGCGTTCCCCTCCACGGCTCCGAAGCTTCCCTCCTCCACCACCCGCAGTCTCCGCCCGCGAAGGGGCTTCTAGTGTGTGGAAATCTTTCCTCCTTCACGGCTCCCTCCTACTGGTGCAGGTCCCGTCCCTATTCTTTTGTCTCTGTTTATTCTTTTTTCTTTTGCCCTACCCAGGTACGTGGGGAGTTTCTTGCCTTTTGGGAGGTCTGAGGTCTTCTGCCAGCATTCAGTAGGTGTTCTGTAGGAGTTGTTTCACGTGTAGATGTACTTCTGGTGTATCTATGGGGAGGAAGGTGATCTCCGCGTCTTACTCTTCCGCCATCTTCCCCTAGATCCTCCTTTTTTTTTTTTTTAATGACATGCCAGACATTTTGAATTTATGTTGTGTGGTGCTGGATACTTTTTTATGTCTATAAATATTCTTGAGCTTTGTTCTGGGGAAACAATTTGATTCTTTCAAGGTTTGCTTTTGTTTGGTGGAATCAGAGCAGCCTTTAGTGTAGCCGTAATTTGGCTGAATTACAGAGGTAGTACTTTTCTGAGTACTCTACCGGATGCCCCATGAGTTAGGAGGTTTCCAGTCTGGCTGGTGGGAGGATGAACTCTCCCAGGTCCTTTGAGAGCTTTGAGAATTTTTCTCTCCAGTTCTTTTGTGTGGGTGTTCCCGGCCTCAGGTGCTTTCCTTGTATGCATGTGCTGATCAATACTAAGGTGAATACTCCAAAGGGACCCCCTCAAGTCTCTGAAGCCTTTCTCTCTGTGCAGCCTTTTCCTCCCCATGACTCTCTCTGTGCACACTTTGCCCTCCCTGGAAGTACAGCTTCTTCTCCACTCAGGGAGACTGCCAGGCTCCACCTGGGTTTCTCTTCCTGAGCTCCTGCCTTGAAACTCCCTCCAGACAGTAAGCTGGGACAGTGGTAGGGCTCATCTAATTTTCCAGCTATGGGGTATCATTGTCCTATGATGACTGATGTCCAATGTCTGTAAATGGTCATTTCATATATTTTGCTCATTATTTTACTTGTTTCACATGGAAGGGCCACTCCAATGTCAAGAACTGTGGAGGGTCTAAAACTTCACCCTACTTACGAGCCATCAAGTTTCATAGCAGTTTCATAGATGCTGACAAAAGGCATGAGACTCCCGGGTCAGAGAGAAAGGGCTCTGTTACCCACAGCACAGCAGACAGCATGAGCTTCGTGTTTTCACTGGTCCCCCTGCTTCCCTGAGGCCCACAGGGCGATGTGGAGCCACACATGTGGACGCTGCCCATGCAGAGATCTGCGTCACAGCTGAGAAAGCTTGCCCTTAGGAAACCCCAGTCTTACAAGGGAGCTGCTCACCAACCTACTCAAAGTTTCTTGGAGAAAGATATTATCTTTACTATTCTGGTCAGAAACAACTCTCTGACCTAGAGGATATACTATTTCTATATTCCAAGGTTGTTTGCCACCCAAGCATACTTGAAAAGATATTCTGTCAAAAAGCTGATTTAAGATACGCAGAAGGTCTTCCCTGGTGGCGCAGTGGATAAGAATCCAGCTGCCAGTGCAGGGGACACAGGTTTGAGCCGTGGTCTGGGAAGATCCCACATGCCGCAGAGCAACTAAGCCCGTGTGCCACAACTACTGAGCCTGTGCTCTACAGCCTGCCAGCCACAACAAGAGAAGCCACCGCTCTGAGAAGCCCACGCCCCACAATGAAGAGTAGCCCCCGCTCACCACAACTAGAGAAAGCCTGCATGCAGCAACAAAGACCCAACGCAGCCAAAAATAAAATAAATTTATTAAAAAAAAGTAAGATGTGCAGAAAACATAACTTGTGTCATTGCTACTGTTTTTCAGGACTGTAAGGAAATTAAAATTGTCAAGCAAAGAAAGTAAAATTGTGGCTTTGAATGAATGAATGAATGAATGAAAGTTTTAGGAAGAATTTTAGAGACAAGGTACTTCTTTTTACTGTGGAGCAGTAATTAGCTCTTCCTCCCTCTGTGACTCTTGAGTGCCCTGGGTTTCCCAAGTGTGTGCCCCTCACTATTCCCTGTTGTTTTTCAGAGGGTATTGTTCCCGGGCCCCCCACAGACCTCTCTATCATCGAGGCCACACAGAGCTACGTGGTGCTGAGCTGGAAGCCCCCCCGTCAGCGTGGCCATGAGGGCATCCTCTACTTTGTAGAAAAGGTAAGACTCTGGGATCGACATTATACCTCTTAACACTTCTTCAAGATTTCTTTAAGGAAGTAGAGATTAAATTTCTATTGTGTCCTGAACTTTTTAAACTCTTATAAACTGTAAACAATTTCTATAGAAAAATGTGTATCACACAGAACTTTGCCTTAAAGTTCAGGGGGTTTATGGATCCCTGAGGGTCACCCATAGACTCCTACAAGGTCCACAGACCCCAACTCATAACCCTTCTAAGAAGAGAAATGTTCCTGAAACTGTAGATTGCCTCTGTGACACTGTTTTCTCGACACTTTTTCTGTCTCCCTTGCCCTAGAAATGCCTTTTCATCTCTCTGCACTTGTCCTTCTGCAGGAAGGGTAGATGGGCGAGAGGAATAGAAGTTACAATACTTTCAAATGGCTGCGAGAGTGAAGACAGAAAGTCCTCACATGCTCCCTCGAGCTTGGCTGGCACTACTCTAAGTGCCGGTGGGAGGGTGGGGTCAGGGGTTACAATCAAGAAAGATACTGGCTAGTTCTTTCTGTCAACTATCTTACAATTATATTGTAGTTATCTTGGAGAGGGCAGCATACAATGAAGGCCTAAAATGGGTGGAATGATGAGAATTACATGTGAATCTATCCTATACCCATATTTGAGAGGAGTTCTAATAAGTATTTATGCTGAGAAAATGGAGAAAAGCAAGACCTGGACAAGACATTATCTGGGGGAGCTACCCCAGCTGCAAGTGCACAGGGGAGCACCTGCCAGGCAAGGCACAGGGCCCGGGGTGGGCGGAGGAAGTCCGCACCTAAAGGGATCATTGGTACTGGAAAAGGGCATTTAAAGAGAATGTGCTGAAACTGAGGTTCCAAATCCATTGTTAAGAAGGTTTTGATTAGGATATAATTGAAAAAAATTAAAATAAGTTTATCTTATCTTGTCTGTAAGAACATTTTTATTGGCAGTTATGCACCACTTTTTAGAACAATGAATGAAACAACTGTTTGTACTTTTTTGTTATATTTTATTTTTATAAAATTCTGTGATAGCATGTTAAGGTATCATTTACATTTTGCTTTCATAGAAAAATCATAGAAAAGGTCTTTTTTTTTTGCAAAAATGTTATGGAGCTCAATTAATTTTCCTAAAGTCCTCTCTTTTACCTTAAATGCTACTCTGATCATTCAATTTCAGAACACCTATTAGATCACCTTCCCTGACAATTATTACAAGAGAATAGATATCATAGGAATATAGGTGTAGGCAAACATCTGCAAATTAGGTAACAACGTAAAAGCAATATTCGACTATCTTTATGGCCTTTTAATTATTTCTAATTAGCAGCTCTTGAGAAAATTATACTGGAGCTAAAAACACTAGGGTCCGTGGTTTCCCTTTATTAATTATTATACTTTTCTTTGATGAGGACATTTAACTCACATCTTTAGGAGCTTTCCTCACTTGCTTCTTATCCCTAACAAATCGGTAACAATAAGTGGATCATCTCTTCAATGTGTAATATGGACATCTTCAAAGAAATTCTGATTTTACCAAAATAATACTAAAAATTTATATTTTTATTAATTTTTATATTTTCTAGATATTAGCTTCAAATAAAATATAACTTGAGTAGCATTCTTGATTTAAAAATTTTTCCCTCAATTTTTTTTAATAGAGGACAAGACAAAGAGTGATAAACATTCACTTCCTGTGGTGTTTAATACACCCTCCCCAGTGAATCCTTTTGAAATGCTCCACATGAAGACGGTTCTGAATAAGCTCTGTGACAGTAATTGCCATCTTTCTTAGAACAATGGCACAGTAAGAACCTACTACTGAGGGCTTTTCTTGCGATGAGTCAGCTTTTAGCTTCTGTTGAGCATCTCCTCTGGTCACATAAACACGAATTTCTCCACGAAAGTCTGTCACTTTTCCAGGCCTAAATACGTGAGCCAGGTTAAAATTTAAATGTTCTTCCAGCACTGCACCTGTTCGTATGGAACAGAAGGGACATTTATGAGTGCGGCATGGGTAAAGAGGCCTGTACAGGCACCACAGACAGACAAAAGGGCCAGGACATTGAGGTAGTAGGGGAGCAGCACACATCCAGAGACCTGGGGCACATTTACAGAGGAACTTCCAAATGCTAGACCATTCTCCTGAGCCAAGTCTCAGATTATCTCTGATGAACCACTTCTATCTAATACGTTGACCTTTCTTAAGGGAGATGTTCCCATGCTCTCGTCCTGTGGCGAGTTTCCATCCCCAGGATGTTCACGCCTACAGCAGTGCTGCCTCTTTGGTTACCCCTGGGCTTGCATTTCTTCATGGAACTCTTTACCTGGGATTTGCACATAAAGGACGAACTTGCCTGTCATGGTGACAGGCTTGCAACCAGTTATGCCATGTCTGTGAGCTCTGAAATGGTTGATACTGAGAGGAATTAGATAAATCGGGTCTCAGCACTCCCAACCCTTCCATCCTACTATGTTCTTTTCAGCCCCCCAATTTTTCCCCAGATGTCTTATGTTTTCAGCTCTTTCTCTCATTCCCCTATCAGAAGTCTGGTCATGTCAGAGGCAAGGATTGTATTACTTGGTAGCTCTGTTTCTATCAAAGGAATAAAAATAGCTAATGTTTACAAGGACCAGATACTGTTCTAAGCTCTGCATGTGTTAACTCACTTAATTCTTACTGTAATTCTATGAGGGAAATACTTTCATTTACATTATGTCTATTTTGTAGATGAGGAAACTGAAGCATAGATGGGGTATATAATTTGCCCAAGATCACACAACTAGGAAGAGACAGAGCTAGGATTTGAACCCTAGCAGTCTGGCTCAGGTCCATAGATCCAGCTCGTATACATTGCTGCCTTTCAACCTTCCCAAGCCTAAGTCTCCTCTGGAAAACCTCAGTAATCACACAATATTACCTCCACAGTACCTACTTCAGAGCACAGTTGAGGGGATTAAAGAGTTACAATGGGGTAAAGTTCTTAGCACACTGAAATGCAGCTACTATTTTTATTATGAAAGTGTAAATGACTGATAAATGTTTATGTGTTCCCTAAGAGAGAAAATGTCAAAATGAGTCAAAGCCATAAACTAAAGGATAAAAAGTCTGGGAGAATTCTGTCCGTCAGTGGGGAGCAGATTGACTGTTTGGGGGAATTTATCCTCTCTACTCTCCCACACACAACTGACACATTATCATAAAAGGCACTGCAAGGGACTTCAGAGGTTAGCTTGTCAAATTTGCTTATTTTACAGATGATGACACTAATGTGACTTTCCCAGGATCACATATCTCGTTGTTACCAAAGCTAGGACCAGAATCGGTGCCTCTGAGTTCTTTTCACCATACCGTATTGCCTCTCATTTCAAGTCAATGAAGATTATGCTGAGTGATGTACCAGTAAACTTATTGTCCCCCAAATTTATCATTCTTGACAACTGGTCAGTCTATCACAAGGTTTGGATTTCCAGAAAAGTCTCTTAAAACTGTTCAGAAGTTCTGGAGCAAAGTCACTTCTGCTACCTTGGGCAGAGCTGAAAGTTATAATAGTAGGGAAAAAGGATTACTGAAGACTGCTGATAGTTTTGTTACTGTATTCTGTACCTAAGCTCAAATACACACCACATCCTTCTTTCAGGGATTTCAAAGTCACTGTAGATCAATGTAATTTCAAGGATAAAATATCTTTAAATTGGTTTTCCCCATTATTTATTCTAAAATATGGGCAAAAAAATAACATTTTCTTTATCTTACACTAACTTTATGCATTCAGAATTCAGAAACATTTATTAATTCAGAAACAAAAATTGTTGATTATCTACTACGTCCTAGATAACAATTCCAGGCTCTGGGGTATAGCAGTGAACAAGACAGCTCCCTGAACTTGCTTCACTGGAATCTACTTTCCAATGAAGGAGACAACAAATAAATAATTTAATTTCAAGTGTTGATAAGTGTTTTGGTGAAAAATAAAGCAGAGTAAGTAAGGGATACAGAGAGATAGGAAAGGAGCAAATAAAGCTTTCAGATTGGTAATGGAAGGAGGGTGATCAAGTGGGCCTTTCTGAGGAGATGGTATATGAGCACAGACCTGCATGATGTTATAAGACATTAAATAAAACGCAATTAAAATAACACAGTTCATAACAACATAATGGAAATTTAAGTATAAGTATCTAACATAGCATATTAAATTTAATTACCTACCCTAAGAATTAGAAAAGTATCTGACCCCAAACTATCATCTAAATAAATTAAGGACTTTTGTAAGTAGACCAATGATCTTATTTAGTTAAAAGGGAAGGGAAGTATTAAAGCAGCATATTTGTTCAACAATACAGCCATATTTGATTTAGATAATCCTGTGTACTTCAGATGTTTCATACCCCATTTCCCCCAAATCTCTTTTGCAGTCCAGTTTGCATAACAGGTAGTAGTTTGTTGGCAGATAAACGAACTTCAAGATGCCTGGCTTAGAGTTCCAGTTTATTCTTTCTGTGCTTTCAATGGATTCCACTGTTCTGGCTACAGTGTGATGCAGGAACAGAAAACTGGCAGCAGGTGAACATGGAGCTCCCTGTGAAGTCTCCCCGCTTTGCTCTGTTTGACTTGACTGAGGGGAAATCCTACCGGTTCCGAGTCCGCTGCTCCAATTCAGCAGGAATTGGTGAGCCCTCCGAGGCAACGGAAGTGACCATGGTCGAGGACAAACTTGGTAAGTATAGAGTTTGCTTGAGCCACTGTAAACTTATTTAACTTCAATTCAAGAGAGGATTCCAAAGCAAGAATCTTATTGGAATATGTATATATTCAAAAGTAAAAATCATGACATCCTTTTTTCATATTATTAATGTAATTGATGACTGTACTTGACTGATATATTAAAATTTTTCATTATTATGAATTATTATGAAAAGTACACTTCTCCAGGAGTTTCAACAGTATTGCTAATGTATTTTTTTCTGGAAGGGGTTGGTATGTTCCTGGGTGTTTAGTTTCTCATTGTACTCCCAAACTAGCATATTTTTAAAAACTTTCTGCTTTAACAAATATATTATAAAAGAACTGTGTGTTTGACGTGACTACTAGTGTAAAATTTATATATGTGTGTGCATGTCTGTGCACATGTGATAAGAATGAATTTCTAAACCACATTGGGCTGGACCATCATTCCCTCTTTTCTCAGACATCCCCAAGCCCCCGAGCAATATCATCCCAAGCAGAAATACAGACACATCAGTTGTCGTTATGTGGGAGGAATCCAAAGATGCTAAGGAGCTGGTCGGGTACTACATAGAGTCAAGTATTGTTGGCTCTGGCAAGTGGGAGCCCTGCAACAACAACCCCGTGAAGGGCACAAGGTAACCGCAATATGCAGGATGGGTGGGTGGGGGGAGTGGGGGTATGACGCTGGAGCCACAGGGGCTGAGGAAAGGACCGCAGACATGGACCCAAAGAGCAGCACAAGCATCAAACACAGGGAGATTATTAAAAACATTATGCTCTGAATATCCAGATGAACTTAAAATTGAACATGTCTACAGCCATACATTTGAAAAAAGGATTACTAGTGATATTAAACACTTAGAAACACACAATGCCAGCTATGATAAGAGATCATTTCATAGCTCTTTTCTGATTCTTTCCCTGTATGCTGTTTGTCCTTTTTAACCCTCTGTTCGTGTTTTAATACCCAGTGTGATACTAGATTTCAAGGATCTAATAGGCTCTAGCGAACGTAAATTAACCAGACATTTTATTTTATTTTTATTTATTACTTTTTTTTGGCCATGCTACGTGGCATGTGGGATCTTAGTTCCCTGACCAGGGATCAAACCTGTGCCCCCTGCATTGGAAGCACAGAGTCTTAACCACTGGACCACCAGGCAAGTCCCTTATTATTATTTTTTAAATTCAAGTATAATTGACCTACAACACTATGTTAGTTACAGGTGCACAACGTAGTGATTCAATATTTCTATACATTACAAAATTATCTCCATGATAAGTCTAATTACCATCTGCCAGCATTGCAAAGCTAGTACAATATTATTGGCTATATTCCCTGTGCTATAATTTCATCCCCATGACTCATTTATTTTGTAGCTGGAAGTTTGTAACCCTTAATCCCCTGCACCTATTTCACTCACCCCTGACCCTGCTCCCCTCTGTCAAACAACTGTTTGTTCTCTATATCTATGAGTCTGTTTCTGTTTTGTTAACGTTTGTTCATTTGTTTTGTTTTTTAGATTCCACATAGAAGTGAAATGAAATCATATGGTATTTGTCTTTCTCTTTTTGACTTATTTCACTTAGCATAATACCCTCTAGGTTCATCCATGTTGCAAATGACAAGCCTTCGTTCTTTTTATGGCTGAGTAATGGTCCATTGTATATATATGCCACATCTTCTTTATCCATTCATCTATCAGTGGAAACTTAGGTTGCTTCCATATCTTGGCTATTGTAAATAATGCTGCAGTGAATATAGGGACACATGTATCTTTTTGAATTAGTGTTTCTGTTTTCTTCAGAAAAATACCCAGAAGTGGAATTGCTGGATGGTATGGTAGTTCTATTTTTAATTTTTTGAAGAACCACCATACTCTTTTCCGTAGTGTTTGTACCAATTTACATCCCACCAGCAGTGCATGAGCGTTCCCTTTCCTCCACATCCTTGCCACCGCTTGTTGTTTCTTGTCTTTTTGAGAATATACATTCTGACAGGTGTGAGGTGATAGCTCATTGTGGTTTTGATTTGCATTTCCCTGATGGCTAATGATGTTGAGCATATTTTCATGTGCTTTTTGGCCATCTGTATGTCTTCTTTGGGAAAATATCTATTCAGATCCTCTGCCCATCTTTTAATTGGGTTGTTTGGGGGATTTTTGATGTTAAGTTTTATGAGGTTTTTTTTTTTGTATTTGGGATATTCACCCCTTATCAGATATATCATTTGCTTATGTCTTCTTCCATTCAGTAAGTGGCTTTTTCATTTTGTTGATAGTTTCCTTTACTGTACAAAAGCTTTTTCATTTGCTGTAGTCCCATTTGTTTATTTTTGCTTTTGTTTCCCTTGCCTGAGGAGACAGAGCCAAAAAAATATTATAAGACCAATGTCAGAGAGCATATTGCCTATGCTATCTTCTAGGACTTTCATGGCCTCAGATCTTGCATTTAAGTCTAATCCATTTTGAGTTTATATTTGTATATGGTGTGAGAAAGTAGTCCAGTTTGATTCTTGTTCATGTAGCTGTCCAGTGTCATAAATTATGCAGGCATTTTAAATGAGCAGAAAAAAGTATCAACATTTTACAAATTTTGAACATCAATATGGTTAAATCCAGTGCTGAGGAGATATAAACACCAAAATAAAGACATTCAGAATACTTTACTGTCTCCTTGTGTCTGTTTCTAATGTGAGGAGGGTTATTTTTTCTTGCTTTTGAATATTTTATCAACCAGCTTTGCAAGTTGATGATGGATTCTGGCCTGCATCCAAATTCTGAGTCTCCTTTGATTTAGGACCAACCTCAGAGGAGACTCACCCCATCCCAATTGTCAAGCAGGCTTGTTAGGCAGCTTCTGACTTGGCCACTTCTATGTCCAAGGACCCCCAGAGGATGAGTCGTTCCTTTTGCGGAACAGGAGAGAATGAAGACAAACCAGCTAACGGGAGAAGGCAATATGTTTTGCAAGAGATTCATTTAGCCTGTTTGTGTACTTCACGTTTACTCTGAGTTCCCCACATTTTCTGGGGACTATTTAGAAATTTTCATGGAGGGTAAGGCAGAGTCTGCCTTTCCATAAATAGAATGGAGCTGCTCAAGGGCCGGCACCATTTTTTATTCATCTTTGTATCCTCAGTACCTGGCTCAGTGTCTGGAACACTGAAGTGCTTAATAAATGTTTACTGAACTGAGCTGGCCTACATTATGACTGCCCTTATTAAGTATTTCAACATGCTAATAGTGATAGAGTCATTAGCAGACCAGTTATTTCCTCTGCTTACAGTCCTTAGGATGCATTAGAATGTTACAGTGATTCATGAAACAGTTTTTCTTTATAGCCATAATAGCTATTAAAGAGTGGAGTTGTTTTATGTGTCAAACTGCCCATGGATTCGCACCTCATTATTGGACCCTTAAATGCAAATGACAATTCTGGAGTCAATTTCTCAAGTAATTATACCTTCCATGGCATGCAGGGAGCCAGTGAGTAGGCCTCTATGACTAAGGCAGCCAGTGCCTTACAGCTATAAGTATATCCCTGAAATAGTCATTAATCGTGTTATTAATACCACCTATTATTTATTAAATGCCTCCTATAGTCAGGTACTATATATACTTTTTGCTAAAGTTTTTAAATTTATTTTTAATTTTTAACTAAAGTATAGTTGATTTACAATGTTTCAGGTATACAGCAAAGTGATTCTGTTTAATACATATTCTTTTCTGAATTCTTTTCTGTCATAGGTTATTACAAGATATTGAATATAGTTCCCTGTGCTATACAGTACAAATAGATAAACAAACGTTGTTTATCTATTTTATATATATTAGTGTGTATCTGTTAATCCCAAATTCCTAATTTATCCCTCCCCGCCCTCCGGTGCTATATATACTTTATGGTCAGTCTTCACACAAAAATTACCATGTAGGCGTTATTATCTCCATTTTACTGATAAGCACACGTAGGCTCAAAAGGGTAGGTGTTTGTGCAGGGGATAACCAAGACTCCTCATCGTTTGACAGAGTGAATTTAGAAAATTGCCTGAGGTGCCTTCTTGTTTAATGTACATATGTTACCTGCATCTCTCTACGTCTTTTTCTTCCTTTTAAAAAATGAATCATTCTCATAAAGCCAGATCATTCCATTAAGCTAACAATCAACTTCCCTAACCTTCCTCCTGGGAAAGTTTTTTTAAAACTTTCTTTCCTTTCAGGTTTACTTGTCATGGACTGACTACCGGTCAGAGTTATATTTTCCGGGTCAGAGCAGTTAACGCAGCTGGACTTAGTGAATATTCACAAGATTCAGAAGCAATCGAAGTAAAAGCTGCTATTGGTAAGTTCTTAGAAAAATGAATTTTTCTAAGTTACAACGAAAGGTACCATCCTCTTCAGAAATTGTGTAAAACTTCTAGTATTGCCCGATGATTCCGTCCTCAGATGATCATTGTCTCTGACTCCAGGTGACCTCTAACCTTCCATAGCTCTCATTTTACAGATCTTCATCACTTATCCAGATTCGGTGCATCTGTAGCCTTTTCCTCTTCACCAGTCCGAGTTTCCTCAGATATTTCCCTTTGTGTGAATCTCCGTTCTAACTTCGTGCTCATCCGGGAGTATGAAGTGCCACCCGATTCCATGAGGTGGTGCATCACCCGTAACACAGAGCATCTCACACCTAAAAGCCGTTTCATCTGCGGCACAGCCTGGCTTGTTCTCAGTAACAGCACATTAACCTGCTTTTTATAAACTGCTAAAATTTGTGCGAGACGTGTGTGGTTGCTTGATATGTTTCATCTCTGCTGGCAAAGTAACCAACAGAATAAAACCAGTAATAAAGTAATTATATGTATGTACAGTGATGTACCTTCCAATCTCAAGGTGGGAAAGGGACCCAGGTATTTCAGGGCAATTAAATTGAAATCTGTGATGTAGTAGCACATATTTAAAGAGAAAGATTATTTAATATCAGTTATCTTCAGTTAGCACCACATATTACTTTTCAACATTCCTTAGAATATGTTTGTATTATAAGGACATAGTGAACATGCGTCTTTGAAGTTGGGAGGTACAGACCATTACTATATCAGTAAGGTACATAACTCTAATTGTTATATAATCAAGATCTTCAATGTTTGTCTCTTGTGCACTTTATGGTCCTTTTTTCCCCCATTCTGTTGAATAATGGAGCTCTCTCAAGAAATGTCTGAGAAGTGCTTGTTCTTATATTTACTTGGGTCCTGCAAATCAGAATGGTTTCTGTTCTGTCTGTGGTTTTTTTGTTCTCATTTCTTCTATTTCGAAAATATGGAAATGTTGAAACGCTTCCTTGGTGTAAGTTATGTGAAATGTATGCTTTCCACATTTCTTGCAAAGCCAAGTGATTTCCGTTAAACCGAGATTGCTTTTGTTGTTTGTGGTGCTAATGTTTTTCTCGTTTGTTCTATGAAGTAAGAGCACTCTGTACTGTGTCCTGGTTCAAAGTGTTTCTGTTGTTATCTGGCAATTGTAGGGGGAGGAGTGTCTCCAGCTGTGTGGCCTGAACTGAGTGATATACCAGGTGGACTAACAGACTCCAGGGGAGGCATGCATGACACCTCCCAGACAACTTTTAAGAAAGATGCTTTGCTTGGTAGCAAACTTAACAAACCTTCACTACCCAGTAGCTCTCACAACCTGGGCCAAACAGAAGTGAGTAAAGTAAGTGAAACAGTTCAGGAAGAGCTTTTCCCACCACTATAGAAAGCAGCTGTTAAGGGGAAAAGTAAGTCTGACCCTCTGAAAAAGAAGAAGGATCTAGGTGAGAGTTGAAACAGTAAAAGCATCCTGTCTGTTTCCATGAGTGTCCTCACCACTTGTTGTCCAGATCACCTTCTTCCATCTGTGTTCACTTTCATCAGTGTTCATTCTTAATTTTATGTTTTCAGTTATCCATTTGTAATACTTTTGTTTAATTAGTTGTGAAAGTAATTTTATAGGGGTTTGGCTTTGACACATAATTCATTGTGCTTAATGACAATAGAATATTTGAAGTAATTTGGCTATAGAGTCTCTTTGGTTTAACAAGCGGACACACCTTTGGCCTCATTTTGCTGAGAGAGTTAGATATGAGAGGGGAAGGATTTGATACTCATAGCCTATGGGAGGTCTTTCGAAATATCCGTGTTTGGTAATAAATGGATAGGAAAAATATTTCACAAAAAAGTAACATTTTATCAGGATCATAGTTATTAACTTCTGTTTTTCATCCTCAGGTTTTCAAATTACCTTCACATTTAATTCAAATAAACATAAGAAACAATATCTCTTTGAGTTGTCATGAAAAGTTTAACAGGGCATTATAATCACATATTCTATTATATATGACCCACATTCCCAGAACTGATTTACTTAAGACTATTTATCAGTAAGGCTAATTACCTAATTAGAATTAGAATAGAAAGACTAATTATCAGTAATCAGAATTTTCTGATTAGGATATTTGGTATTTGTGGTTTATATATTCTAGGAGACAATGTTTTTCTTATCAAATAAAAATGAAATGATAAGCATATACTGGTAAATCATATCTTGCCTCTCCCCCATCCCCTATATATATCCCATCCCTAACTTCTGTAACCTTCTCTACTTTTTTTTTTTTTTTCTGCGCCACCAGGGAAGCCCTTCTCTACTTTTTTGACACCTTTATTTGCCTCTTCAACTCAAGATGAGATAGGGTATTCATTTGAGAGTTTATATTCAACATTGTTCTGAAACAGAGAGAGAGAGTAAGAAAGCTTTTCTTTAAAATGTAAAGAATGAAGGAGGTTGGTGTTGGGGTAAAGAGAGAAAAAACGTATTTTATTTTTTAAAATCTTTATTGTTCTGAGAATCTTTTTGAATAAGAATGAGATAGTTCCTTTATCTCTGATAATCCAAATAAATATTCAGAAAATTCTTTTTAATGTTATTGCACATCTAGTGGATTTCTTTCCACCACCCCACCCTCTCTTTCTTTATCAAAAAAACATAATTTCAGTAGTTGAGTGAAAGTTTCATCAACAAATCCACATAAATGAAGAAAGACTTTTAAAACAACATCCAAATATTTTTCTGATTAAGCACTAATAAACACAGTGGCAGCTGTGTAGTATTTTGTGCCGTATGAATAATAATCCAGCATCAGGTTTAAAATAGTGCAGCAAAAAGTATTATACTAAGAGAAAAATCACATGGCTGATTGTTCCTGTCTTTTAAAAAAGATTTTTAACATGGCATTTAGCTGAGCTCCAGTATATGATTTTTTTCTGTGTGTAGACAGAACCTATATAGTTGTAAGGTCTCACAAGGGTACATGTACCTGAGTGGTGAAATGCTAACTGTTTGGAAATATATAGAAATTCTTAATAAGCAAATCAAGGCAGAAATTGATATACATATGTCATTTTCCTCAGGGAGCAAATGAAAACAAAACCACATAAAGAAACAAAAATGTCTTACTTTTTCATGCTATTGCTTTAGGAATGAAGAGGTAGCATGTACCTCTGTCCTAAAATTTAGAGTTGAGATATACAAAGTAGGATGAAAAATAATCAATAAAGATACATAAAGTATTGAAAAAGAGAAACAAAAATATATATCTTGGGAAAAATATTTCCTCTTATGGGGAACAGATCATTTTTCAGGATATTGTTAGTTATATTTTCAGGATATTGTTAGTTATATTTTCAGGATATTGTTAGAAATACTAACATTTTGCGGTTAGTATCTCAAAACTTATTCCTCCTTGGGAGTGGAGGGGGCAGGTTCCTTTTATCTTTGGAATAATAATTGTGGTGCAGTTTTTATTGTGTGTCAGTTTTTTTCCTCACATACCAAATCGATGCTAAGTTACTTACTGGTGTCACATTTTAGTTTTACACCACAGGACCTAGTGCCCTCATGCGTGTCACCAATGAGACAGTTTGATGCAGGTAGAATCATAGAAGCATTTCTGTCCACTCATGAGCTCTTCATATTGCAACAGCGGCACCATCTCCACCCTGTGATATCACTTGTCTTGAAAGTTTTCGTGACTCAATGGTTCTTGGATGGAAGCAACCAGATAAAACTGGAGGGGCTGAAATTACTGGCTATTATGTGAACTATCGAGAAGTAATTGATGGGGTACCAGGAAGATGGAGAGAAGCCAACATCAAAGCTGTCAGTGATGAGGCATATAAGGTAAGTGTGTGGCCTTCAGTAGTGCAGGGTGTCATATGTCTGTTGACACACCACATGCACACAATGCACACATATGCACATACATGCACGTGCCCAGCACCTTGTCAATGATTCCTGTCATTTCTCCAGTGTCCTTTGCCTGCAGTGACATGACTTTTGTGACAAATATACAAAGATGAATAGAAATATTTTGGCTAACTAGGCAGTATATTTTCTGATTTATACACATAAACATAATTTCTTCAAATATTTGGTATGGAATATATACTTTTTATGAAAACTTATGTTTTTTTACAAAAATTAACTCACAAAGTATCTGTAACAATATGCGACTAGTTTTAAGAGTCCCAGAATCCAAATGACTGGATTTTTAACTTTCAATGTCCAAATCACGAAGAATAAAGGGACATGGACCCGATGGCCAGACTCAGCTTGCCCTCTGCAAAGTGGCCCCTGTCATAGTGCTCTGATAGCCACAAAGGGGCACTTCACGTGTCCACCCACGAGTTTCCCTGCTACACGTGGGCCTTCACTGCTCGGCCCACCTCAGAGCACCTGAGGGGTCTGACTATTACCATAGCTACTGGCTCCCCTCTTTGCAGCATCGTCAGCTAGACCCAAGTCACCACCCCTCCCTCACAGAACCCCAAGCTGTGAGAGCAAGAGCAGGGTGAGGCCCGGGGAATGGTGCTTTCCCCAACTGAATGTCACATTCTTTTAACTTAACATCTAATATTTATGAAATATCACACGCATACTGAGAATACATAAAACAAAATTTTATTTTATTTATTTTTGCGGTACACGGGCCTCCCACTGTTGTGGCCTCTCCCGTTGCGGAGCACAGGCTCCGGACACGCAGGCCCAGCAGCCACGGCTCACAGGCCCAACCGCTCCGCGGCATGTGGGATCTGCCCCAACCTGCATCGGCAGGTGGACTCTCAACCACTGCGCCACCAGGGAAGCCCCAAAATTTTATTTTTAAGATTCTTCCATGTTGGTACAAGTAGCTCTGACTTTATTGCTGTGTATTCCATTACATGACCATCTCACAGTAGACCTTCCCATTCAATTATTGATTGACATGGGGCATTGTAAGCCATATCAAACAATTTAGCTATGAACATTTTTGTACATGCCTGCTGGCACATATGTGCACTAGTTTCTCTAGGTTATTACCCACAAGTGAAATTGACAGGCCAGAGAGTCTTGTTTATCTCCAACTTCACCTCATAATTCTCTGCTGTGTTTCTGAAGAGTATGAGAATTCCCAATGCTGCACATCCTTCCAGTACTTGGTGTGTTCACACTTTTCCTGTTTCGACAATCTGGGTGTCAAATGAGTCTGAACATCTTTTCCTGTGTTTATGGTCCATTTTGAAATCTTTCATAGCATGCCTAACAAGGTTTTTGCCCATTTTTCTAATGGGTTTTCTTATTGCCTTGTGAAGTTCTTTAAATATTTTGAGCATAAATCCTTGTTGGCTATGTAAGTTGCCTATATCGTCTCATTGGCTAGACTTTTCCTCTCCTTATGGTGAACTACACCTGTTTTCTTGTCAAATTTATTGTAGTCAGATTTACCAACATTTGCTTTGCATTAGCGATTTCTGTGCCTTTTTTTTTTTTAAGAAATGCCTTCTAGTTCAGGAATCCTGAAAGCCATGGCCCCAGCTGGGACCATGCTATATAGATTATATTCTAAAGGCTTTACAGTTTGCCACTTACGTTTAAGTTATTAATTCACCTATAAATGTTGTGTATGATGTGAAATAAGGGTCAAATTATTTTTCCCTTTATGGATACCCAGCTTCATGATAAAATCAGGTGTAGACTGGATCATGGATACAGATTTGTCTTGGCTTAAATCATACAGTAGGTAAAGTTTGTTAACTCAGCTGGTTCCATCAGTTCCTCCATTTATTAAGCATTTTTAATGTTCAAAGGATTATTTATCGTTCATGGATTTTTTTTTGAATTTTGTTTTATTTATTTTTTCATACAGCAGGTTCTTATTAGTTGACCATTTTATACATATTAGTGTATACATGTCAATCCCAGTCTCCCAGTTCATCCCACCCCCACCCCCACTGCTTCCTCCCTTGGTGTCCATACGTTTGTTCTCTACATCTGTGTCTCAATTTCTGCCCTGCAAACCGCTTCATCTTTACCATTTTTCTAGGTTCCACATATATGCGTTAATATGCGATATTTGTTTTTCTCTTTCTGACTTACTTCACTCTGTATGACAGTCTCTAGATTCAGCCACGTCTCTACAAATGACCCAACGTCATTCCTTTTTATGGCTGAGCAATAGTCCATTGTGTATATGTACCACATCTTCCTTATCCATTCGTCTGTTGATGGGCATTTAGGTTGCTTCCATGATCTGGCTATTGTAAATAGTGCTGCAGTGAACATTGGGGTGCATGTGTCTTTTTGAATTACGGTTTTCTCTGGGTATATGCCCAGTAGTGGGATTGCTGGGTCATGTGGTAATTCTATTTTTCGTTTTTTAAGGAACCTCCATACTGTTCTCCATAGTGGCTATATCAATTTACATTCCCACCAACAGCGCAAGAGCGTTCCCTTTTCTCCACACCTTCTCCAGCATTTGTTGTGTGTAGATTTTCTGATGATGCCCATTCTAACTGGTGTGAGGTGATACCTCATTGTAGTTTTGATTTGCATTTCTCTAATAATTAGTGATGTTGAGCATCCTTTCATGTGCTTCTTGGCCATCTGTATGTCTTCTTTGGAGAAATGTCTATTTAGGTCTTCTGCCCACTTTTGGATTGGGTTGTTTGTTTTTTTAATATTGAGCTGCATGAGCTGTTTATAGATTTTGGAGATTAACCATTTGTCCGTTGATTCGTTTGCAAATATTTTCTCCCATTCTGAGGGTTGTCTTTTCGTCTTGTTTGTAGTTTCCTTTGCTTTGCAAAAGCTTTTAAGTTTCATTAGGTCCCACTTGTTTATTTTTGTTTTTATTTCCATTACTCTAGGAGATGGATCAAAAAAGATCTTACTGTGATTTATGTCAAAAAGTGTTCTTCCTGTGTTTTCCTCTAAGAGTTTTATAGTGTCTGGTCTTACATTTAGGTCTTTAATCCATTTTGAGTTTATTTTTGTATATGGTGTTAGGGAGTGTTCTAATTTCATTCTTTTACATGTAGCTGTCCAGTTTTCCCAGCACCACTTATTGAAGAGACTGTCTCTTCTCCACTGTATATCCTTACCTCCTTTGTCATAGATTAGATGACCATAGGTGCATGGGTTTATCTCCAGGCTTTTTATCCTGTTCCATTGATCTATGTTTCTGTTTTTGTGCCAGTACCATATTTTCTTGATTACTGTAGCTTTGTAGTATAGTCTGAAGTCAGGGAGTCTGATTCCTCCAGCTCTGTTTTTTTCCCTCAAGACTGCTTTGGCTATTCGGGGTCTTTTGTGTTTCCATACAAATTTTAAGATTTTTTGTTCTAGTTCCGTAAAAAATGCCATTGGTGATTTGATAGGGATTGCATTGAATCTGTAGATTGCTTTGGGTAGTATAGTCATTTTCACACTATTGATTCTTCCAATCCAAGAATATGGTGTATCTCTCCATCTGTTGGTATCATCTTTAATTTCTTTCAACAGTGTCATATAGTTTTCTGCATACAGGTCTTTTGTCTCCCTAGGTAGGTTTATTCCTAGGGATTTTATTCTTTTTGTTGCAGTGGTAAATGGGAGTGTATCCTTAATTTCTCTTTCAGATTTTTCATCATTAGGGTATAGGAATGCAAGACATTCCTGTGCATTAATTTTGTATCCTGCTACTTTACCAAATTCATTGATTAGCTCTAGTAGTTTTCTGGTGGCATCTTTAGGATTCTCTATGTATAGTATCATGTCATCTGCAAACAGTGACTGTTTTATTTCTTTTCCAATCTGTATTCCTTTTATTTCTTTTTCTTCTCTGATTGCCGTGGCTAGGACTTCCAAAACTGTATTGAATAATAGTGGCGAGAGTGGACATCCTTGTCTTGTTCCTGATCTTAGAGGAAATGTTTTCAGTTTTGCACCACTGAGAATGATGTTTGCTGTGGGTTTGTCATATATGGCCTTTATTATGTTGAGGTAGGTTCCCTCTATGCCCACTTTCTGGAGAGTTTTTATCATAAATGGATGTTGAATTTTGTCAAAACGTTTTTCTGCATTTATTGAGATGATCATATGGTTTTTATTCTTCAGTTTGTTAATATGGTGTATCACATTGATTGATTTGCATATGTTGAAGAATCCTTGCATCCCTGGGATAAATCCCACTTGATCATGGTGTATGATCCTTTTAATGTGTTGTTGGATTCTGTTTGCAAGTATTTTGTTGAGGGTTCTTGCATCTATATTCATCAGTGAATTTTCTGTAATTTTCTTTTTTTGTAGTATCTTTATCTGGTTTTGGTATCAGGGTGATGGTGGCCTCATAGAATGAGTTTGGGAGTGTTCCCGCCTCTGCAATTTTTTGGAAGAGTTTGAGAAGGATGGGTGTTAGCTCTTCTCTAAATGTTTGATAGAATTCACCTGTGAAGCCATCTGGTCCTGGACTTTTGTTTGTTGGAAAATCTTTTTTTTTTTTTTTTTGCGGTTCGCGGGCCTCTCACTGTTGTGACCTCTCCCGTTGTGGAGCACAGACTCCGGACACGCAGACCCAGCAGCCATGGCTCACAGGCCTATCCGCTGTGTGGCATGTGGGATCTTCCCGGACCGGGGTACGAACCCGTGTCCCCTGAATCGACAGGCGGACTCTCAACCACTGCACCACCAGCGAAGCCCTGTTGGAAGATTTTTAATCACAGTTTCAATTTCATTACTTGTGATTGGTCTGTTCATATTTTCTGTTTCTTCCTGGTTCAGTCTTGGAATGTTATACCTTTCTAAGAATTTGTCCATTTCTTCCAGGTTGTCTATTTTATTGGCATAGAGTTGTTTGTAGTAGTCTCTTAGGATGCTTTGTATTT